GGCAACGTCGGCCTTCCGCTCCAGGGGAAACACCGTGGTGTAGCGCGTGTAGTCGTCGACGAGCACAAGGAAGTAGCGCTCACCGCGCGGTCCGGGGACGGGGGCAGGGCCCCAAACGTCCAGGTGCAGGGTCTGAAGGGGGGCAGTAGCAGGGCGCAGCGAGGAGGAGTGAGGAGCACGGCGGAGCCGACCCTCGACGCAAGGCGTGCACGGTGGCGCAGTCGAGGGAGGAAGGGCAGGGAGCGACGCGGGGAGACCTAAGACAAGACCGTGCTGGGACATGTGACGCAGACGAGGGAGAGCAGGGTGACCTAAGCGGTGGTGCCAGAGAAGGGACGGGTGAGTGAGGGACCGACACGAGCAAGCTGCAGCGACCTGGGAGGACGCACCAACCGGGGGGAAGCGGTGTCTAGGGTAAACAGACCGGACACCGGGTCCCGGGGGAACGTCGCAAGGGGGGAACCTGAGACAGCCTCAGAACAGACAGCGAACCGCTCGTGGGGGAACGTGGTGGTGACGCCGAGGTCCTGGAGACAGCCGACACCAACCAGGTTCCTCGAGAACGAGGGAACGTGGAGGCCTGTAAGGGAGCCCGAGGGAACTGCTGGACAGGGAAGGGACGTAGAACTGCGAGCGACGACAGGACCCGCAGAGGGGTCAGCGAGAGAGACAACAGCAGGCGCAGCAAGCGGCGTGAGCGTGGAACGGTCGCGGAAGAAGCAGGCAGAAGCACCGGAGTCGAGAGTGAAGGACAGCGAAGCAGTGGCGGAGGCCGGGACGGAGCCGGTGCAGCGACTAGACTAGGCAACTAGGCAGTCCTACGCCTGACGCAGCAGGGGAGGCTAAGCTACACAATGGTGCAACACCTAAACTAGAGTACACAGGGTAATAAGATCCAGCAACACTAGAAGCGTCAGAATACAAAGCATGCAAAGCAGCACCTATCTGATCCATGTCTAACTCAAAGATCGGCACGCCCTGGCGGAGCAGGCTGTGCCAGTCGGGGAGGTCCGGGGCCGGGCCAAAGCGACGACGAAAGAGATCGTCGAGGCGGCGGAAACAGCGGGCGGTCGGGTGCGGGCGGCGGCACAGAGTGCCGCGAAGAGGCCCGGTCTGAAGCTGGTACTGGCAGGTGACAGCACCGGAGCCGCCGGTAGACGCCAAGCTGCGCGGGCCGCCACCCACGGCCTTTTACCTCCGGAGGTGCCGGGCCAGCCAGGCGGGAGACGGGCCCACGGCTGCGGCGACTGCTGCTGGGACGGCGGCTGCTGCTGGGGCGGCGGCCGCGGCTGGGGCTGCTCCTGCTGCGGCTGGGGCTGCTGCTCCTGCCCACCAGTTGTAGTCCCCGCAGGCGGACTACCGTCACCACCACCACCACCACCTGCGCCACCACCCACCCCTACCTCCCTGGCGACCACGGCCACCGCGGCGCGAGCGCTGCTGCGGGTGGACTGCAGCATCCGTCTCGGTGAGAGGGGTCGATGTGGCGATCGCAGCCGAAACGTCAGTGAACGTGCACTGGGAGGGGGCACAGCCGTGAAAGATAGAGACTGCCGGCGCACCGCTCGACTGAGCGATAGTGCGCTGACGAGTCTCGATCTCGGTGAGGGGTGTCGACAAAGGCGGTGAGGGTGAGGTCACCCAGGTGCTGGCTAAGGAAGTGATCGCGAGCATTAGCGAGGCGGTCTGGCAGGCGCATGGTGATAAAATAGAGCATCATGCAGGGAAGGGGGGGGGAGCGCAGTGAGCTGGGCAGCAGTGCTGGCAGTGCGATAGCGGGTCTCTATGGCACGCAGGTGAGTGGCAAAGTCTGCGACGGTAGGGGAAGTCTGCAAGGTCTGGGAACAGCATCGGAAAGAGCAAGCGGCCAGCAGAAGCAGACGCGGGTGTGGAATAGTGAGCAATAACGGCGTCTAAGTAAGCTTTGGCCGTCTCAACAGTAGCAAAACGCGAGCGCTCAGACACAGGGAGGGCGTGACTAATAGCAATCTGAGGTACTGCATCGCGGGAGTCCCAAACCGCACAGGCAAGCGCAACAGTAGAGAAGGCCTCACGGTCAGCAGAGGAGGGATCAGCAGGGAGGGGAGCAGGGGCAGGGGGGCGGGGAGCAAGCCATCGACATGGACAACCAAAGAGTGGCCATCCTGGCGCTGACCTGTAAGGTGGCGGCGGAGATCGGAGAGCCAGGCGGCGAAGTCAACCGCATGGCCCTCGGTGTCCAGTCAAAGCACGAAGTCAGCCATCGTGCAGGGTCAGCGGCACAGCTCCACAGGAACACAGCGACGCAGGGACACGGCGGCAGCACTCTCCAGCACGGCGGCTGCGAGGCGCCCCAGCACTGGCGAGCAGAGTAGACGGAGCTCGAGGTGCACGGCAGGACGAGCAGGCACGAAGATGGGCCGGGCGGGCAGTGGGAGAGGCCAGGCAGGCGCGGAGGGGCCAGGCAGGTGCGGCGGGGCCATGCAGTCACGGTGGGGCCAGGCAGGCGTGGCGCGGCCAGGCAGGCGTGGCGGGGCCAGGCAGGCGCGGCGGGGCCAGGCAGGCGCGGCGGGGCAGGGAGGGCGGGGGCCAGGCAGGCGCGGGGGCCAGGCAGGCGCGGCAGGGCCAGCAGGGCGGAGGGGCCAGGAGGGCGCGACGGGGCCAGGCAGGGCGCGACGGGGCCAGGCGGGCGCGACGGGGCCAGGCAGGGCGCGACGGGACCCAGGAGGGGCGCGACAGGGCTAGGAGGCGCGACGGGGCCCAGGAGGGGCGCGACCGGGGCTAGGAGGCGCGACGGGGCTAGGAGGGACAACGGGGCCCAGGAGGGGCGCGACGGGGCTAGGAGGCGCGACGGGGCCCAGGAGGGGCGCGATGGGGCCCAGGAGGGGCGCGACGGGGCCAGGAGGCGCGACGGGGCCCCAGGAGGGGCGCGACGGGGCTAGGAGGCGCGACGGGGCTAGGAGGCGCGACGGGGCTAGGAGGCGCGACGGGGCCCCAGGGGGGGGGGGGGGGGTGCGGCGGGGTCTAGCTAGGGTACGGGCGGAAGCGGTAGGTGGGGGATTCTAACCTACGCTCTGATACCATGTTAAAGGAAGAACTGAATGAATGACTAGAAGTGGAAACCTAGAACAAATACTAGTTGGTTGTACTCACTAGAAGCATACCTGAATCTAGCCTATAACTTTTACATAGCTAATATGTATAAGTTGACACTCATTACTTGACAAACATGTAACAAACAAAGTGCTCTTGTCGCATCAACTCATCGCCCCCTGCAATCAGTGGCTCACGTTTTCTCATCCGTGTCATCTGGAGCAACACAGCCGGTGCGCAGCACAGAATAAATACCATGGCTGCCTCTCAACAATCGAATAAATACACAACCTGCTGCAATGTAGCAGCCATGCTCACTTTGCATGTGCAAAAGCCCTCGGTAGCAGCGGCCATGCCTTGCCTTGCCACCATGCTTCAAAACATCTTAGCTCGTGTGTGTCCAGCCCCTTCACTCCTTCGCTGCAGAAGGAAAGCGCGTGCGGCACTCTCAGGGATGTTGCTGCTGCATGTCCCTGCGGCGACTGCAAATGGCAGTCACGAGTCACGGGCGGCCCCCCTGTGCTGGTGGCACAGTGGCCCCGTGCATGGTGGGGGCCTGGGACGAAGGTGTGGTGGCAGGCCCAGGCAGGGGCGCGAGGGCGTTGTTGAGCAGCAGCGAGATGGCAGCGGAGGAGAGCACGTGTGGGGCAGGCGCCGTGGAGGGGGCACAGGAGAGAGCGTGGGCAGAGGTGCTGTGGGCCTCGCTCATGAGCTCCTCCAGCTGCGCCTGAGAGGGCAGCACAGCGGGGGAGGGGGAGAGGGGGAGAGAGGGGAGCACAAGATGAGAACAGGCAAGATGAGAACAGGCAAGGCGAGAACAGGCAAGATGAGAACAGAAAAGTTGTGAATGGGGAAAACATGCTGTCCAGGGGTTTGAGATGACTGGAGTGAGAAAGAGAGCTGTGGGAAAAGTATCAAGTTACACGGCACTGGAACACGGGTGCTGGACAAGCGAAACGGGCATCCTTGCATGCCATGCCATGCACCTCAGGTCATAGTTTGCATACCTCAAGAAGAGATTTCTCCTTGGACTGCCCCTTGTCCTCCTCACAACCCCACCCTCCAGTGTCCCCCAACGCTCTGTACTTGCCAGCCGCGTGCACCCCTTCCGCCATGTGCCTCTTCCCCTGCACTCCACCCATGTGCTCCTGCCCCATCTGCCCCATCTGCCCCACGTGCCCCATCTGCCCCATCAGCTCCATCTGCTGCTGCCGCCGCTGCTGTCGCTGCATGTGCTGTGCTAGCAGCCCAGACGACTGGATGGAGTATGCTGCAGCGGACACTGAAGACAATGCTGCTGCTGCTAACGCTGGTGCTGACGCTGGTGCACACTTTCCTATCCCCACATCTCCCCCACTGTTGCTTGCCCCCACCACTCCCCCCTGCCAGTGACAACCCCCCTCGCCCCCCCAAGCTCTGCTTCTCCCTGCACCACCCCAGCTCTTGCTCTTGCCCCATGGCACCAGCGCCCCGCCCACCCCCCCTGCCCCTCCTGCTCCCCACCGCCCTGCCTTGACTGCCGTGCTTGCTGCCTCTGCTGCTCCCCCCCCTGCTGCCAGCGACTGCACTCGAGCCAGCACCCTGCCGCCCTGAATGCCAGCGGCACCTGCAGTAGCAGAATGGCGTAACGCGTGGCGCACGGGGAAGGGGTCGAAGCCGGCATGGGCTTCCTTGGGAGAGGGAGAAGATCCGATCACAGCAGCGCTAGCTCTGCCGCCACTACAGCCCCAGCTGCTCTGCCGGCTCAGTGGAGCACTCCGCACACGACCAGAGCACGCCATAGCACCCACCACAGCTTCCCCTGAGCCCAGTGTCTCTCCCCACGCACCCTCTCTGCCCTCCGTCACCACGCCTCTCCCCCCCTCGCCACCACCACTCACAGCGCTGCCCAGTGAATTGTCCTGCTTTCCCGCGCCTCGCTCCCTGTGCCCCAGCGCCCTGCCACCCGGGCCACGCGCCGGACCTCCCTCTGTCGCCGTCCCCGTGTGGACCCCCCCCGTGCAGCCTGTCCTGCTGAGCCGCCACCGCCATCTTCGCCTGCCTTGCTGCGTCCCCAGGCGACCCCCCTGTCCGCTCCACCTCCCACCGCCCATGCCTTCCTCCCTCTCCGTCGCCCCCACTGCCGCCCCACCCACCGCTGCCCGGCCTCCCTCTCGGCGTGTAGGAGAGTGGGGAGATGAGAGGGGAATGTGAGGAGGGAGTGTGGAAGCGAGGGGAGACGAGGCACAGGGGTTTTGGGGGGAAGCGCGGCACATGGGCGGTGCTCTCCCCTTGCCGCCCCCCGTTCGTGGTCGGAGCTTCCAGGGCTGCAACAGCTTGAGACCTCACACCTGCTGCTGCAGATGTGGCCGCCCCTGGCGCAGCAACCACTCCATCTACACCCGACGTGCCACATGCCGCTACAGAGGCTGCCGGTAGAGTCCCAGGCACCATGCCATGCTGCTCCATTCCCAATGCTGCGCGCCCTGCATAGCCTGTACCGTACAGCACCGCGTTCAGAATGGCCCTCCTTGCCCCCGCGGCAAACGGCAGATTAGAGGTGCTGGTCCGTTGGGTGCTTTTGTGGCGCAGCAGCATGCTCTCCACCAGTGACTCCCACTCTCCATTCGCCCCGACTTGCTGCTCCATGGGAGTGGCTTGAGCGAGAGTGGGAATGAAGGCGTGTGGGTCAGCAGCAGGGGTTGCAGCAGCACCCAACCCCAAAGCATCACTGCTGCTTACCACCTGTGCTCTGTACCCTGCCTGCTGCTGGTGCTGCTGCTCCGTCCACGCCTGTTTGATCTGAAGAGCTAGCTCCAAGCGCTCCTTCCGTTTTGCCTCATTCGCCGCATCACCATTCACCTCCTGCTGCACCCCTGTCTGTGATTCCTGTCTCACTACCTGAACCTTCGTCTCCTGCTGTGGCTGCGCCTGCTGCAGCGTGCGGTCCATGCACGCATCCGCCCCTTGCCGCTGCTGCACGGCCTGCTGCTGCTTCATCAGCAGCACGCGGTGCTGCAGCTGCAGCCTTGCGAGGCGCTGCAGCCCTCTACTCCACAGCTGAGCAGGCCTGCTACTGCCGTCGTCCCTGCGCTGCCCCTCGCCACTACTCTTCATGCTGCTGCCAGCCGTTTTCAGCGCCCCACCAGCAACATCCACAGCGCAGGTGCTTTCAAGCGCCGCACCCGCTGCTGCAACACCTGGAGGCGGATTGCCATTGGAAAGGGTGGCAAGCGGAGGAGAGCCGTTGCGGCTGATTCCAGCAGGGTGCGCGGGGGTGAGAGGCTCGTGCGCACGGAGGGCTGTGGCCGTGGTGCTCTCCATCTCCCACGCGCCTCTCACCTCCCCCCCCGCCCACGACAGGGACCGCTTCTTGGGCAGCAGCGCTGCCTGCGCCCGCCCGCTCTCGCCCTCGCCCCCATCGCCTGCTGGAGGAGCCCTTGCCGCTGCTGGTGTGTGGGGCGGGGGCGCGGGGGAGTGAGGAGAACGCACGTGAGAACCAAGAAAGTGGTGCGAGAGGGAGCGCGGGGAGAGGGAGGAAGAGGTGGTGGCGGCGGCGGCGGTGGGGAAGGAGGCAGAGATGGTTCGAGCGAGGCCGGCGACACGAGGGGCGGATGGGGACGAGGGCGGCCGGCAGGAGGACCGCGAGGCGGGTAGGGCGGGGGCGGTGTGGTGGAGAGGCGGCAGTTTGAGGTTCAGTGGGCGCATGGCGTGCGGGAATGGGTAGGCGAGGCGCGGAGAGAAGCGCGTGTGGGTGGGCGGCGAGGGGAGAGCAGGCGCGGGCAGGAACGGCGCATGGGGCTGGCCGTCCACTACCTCGCTCTGCTCCTTCTGCTCCGCCTGCTCCGCCTTCTCCGCCTGCTCTTGCCGCGCCAGGGCATGTTCATCCGCACATGCACCGCGTGCGTGCAGCACCGTGAATGTGGGCGCCGCCTCGCCTGCTGTGCTGCAGTCGATGACCATGGGCGACGTCCTGAGGCGTTTCCTTTGCCCCAGCATGGCGCACACCATTTCCAAGCAGTCCACGTCCGCATCCGCCCCGCTCTCCGCTCTAAACTCCCTCCCCCCCTCCTCCTCCTGCTCCTCCTCCTCCTCCTCCTCCTCCTCCTCCTCCTCCTCCTCCTCCTCCTCCACCTCCTCCCCCTCCTCCCCTTTCCTCTCGCCCATCCCCGTCCCCTCCTCTGCTTCTTCCAGCGAGCTAGCCTTCCCCGCTGCGAGCGCCTGCTGCATGTGCGGACGCGCGTCGCTATCGCGATCCCCCGAGCCTATCGCCCCAGCATCCTGCGGCGTGAAGCCGAGGCCGCTGCCGCCCCCGCTGCTGTCCCCGCCGCCCACCCTCCGCGCCAGCTCCACCAAGTCCGCGTCATCCCCCTGCGCCCCTGCCCTGCCTCTGCTCCCCCACCCCGCTCGCCTACACTCCGCGCTCCGCGCGTCCCTCCCCTCTCCCCCGGGACCTTGCACTTCGCCCGTCGCCGTCTCCATCGCGCACGGATCGTCTGCGCCTTTAGGCGCAACATCCCTAAACCCCCCAACTACTCCTACTAGTGCTTCCGCGCCTGCCCGCGTTCCCCTTTCTCTTCCGCTGTCTTCCACGCCGCACCCAGCCGTCTCGCGCTCTCGTCCTCCGCCCGCCCCGCCTCTTCCCCCAACCTCCCGATCTCTCGCCCTCCCCTCTGCCCTTCCCCACGGCGCGGCGCACCGCTGCGAGGAAGGAGTGGCGGTGCCGCCAGTGGTGGTGGAAGAGGCGAGGTCGGGGAGGGTGGGGGGGCTGGGCGTGGAGGGCGCGACGGCAATGGCGCTGTGGCTGCCCGCTGCGCTGTGCCCAGCAGGCTCCCCCGCTGACCATCGCAGCTCCCCCGCTGTTCCTCCGCCGTCGCGGCTGATTCTACACTGCGTGGTCGCAGGAACTACAGCGGTACCACCGCCACCTGCGACTGTCCCCTGCGTCTCTGTCGGCGTCTCCTGCTCGGCCGCCACAGCAGCCGTTGCAACGTCCATGCGGCAAACGCCGTTCGCCCACCAGCCAAACTCCCCGCACACCTGCTCCTCCGCAATTCCCGCTGGCACTCCCGTCGCGGCGGCGACATTTGCGGAACCGTCATTGGGTCCAACCCGGCCTGAGGCATCTGCCGCTTGCTCCGCCGCAGAGAGCCCGGTGTTCGTGGGCGGCCCCTCTGGTCCGTCCGGCCTAACGGCGTTGAAACTGGCTATGAGATCCGACCAAGACACCACCCGCTCCATGGCATCGAATCCCGGCGCTTTCATGCTGAAAGGAATCTGCTCCGCCGCTGCTGCCTCGGAAAGATGCTCCCTGGAACCTCCAAACGCCGCTTCTGCAGTTGCCGCCGCGGTGCTCTCACTGTCCGCCTTGACGTGCCCCATTACCCCCCCGACCCATCGATCAGAGCCCACACGTCCGCCCAACTGCCTGCGCCCTCGATTCCGTCACCCCCATGCTCCGCCCACACCCACTCGTCGCCTTCCCCGCCGCCGCGCAACCCGCTCCCCTCGCCACCCCCATGAGCTCCCACCCCGCCTCGTCTATCGTTACCCTCCGGGATTCCAAACGCCGCGGCGACGGACCCATGTAACGTATGCGTGGACTTAAACTCCTCGTTGGGTGTGATCCCTGCGTCCTCCGTCATGGGGGAAGTGGAGGGAAACATCGCGCGGCAGCGGCTAGCTGATGCACCGCGTGACTGCGGCTATCGGGGATCTCCAGGTTCCTTGCAGAGAAACATCTGACTGCCCGAATGCTTTTGAGGTCCCAATTCACCGGACTATAGCTAGCTCGTCTGGTGAGAGTCTCACCACGTAGGTTACTGGTCCTGACTATTTTCCAGCAACGGAAACGGATAAACGCGAGCGGTAACAGAGTGAGGTTGTGGCCGTTAGCCTAGTGACGAAGCGTGACAAGAATATGAAAGAAAGATTCTTGTAGGACTGAACTACTAGGAAAAAAGTGTCGCACACTCATCAGCGACGTGGGGATTCTGACGCGAACAGATCGGTGAGGGATGGTCAATGAAGTGGCAACGATGTCTCATGAATTCTGAAACTAATTGCCTGCGGTCTTGCTCGTGTGGACGAGCTTCGGGCCAATACGGTAAGAATCTTCTTGCTTGAAGTTGTTACAGCAGTGCCTAGCCCAGCAACTCCTGAAGGGTCTGCTGGTTTGCGTCCATTCAGCTTGCTGCGGCGCGGCTGTCGCTCACTGCTTGTGCTGCCTCGCAGTTGTGATTGCAGAAGCAACCGAGTTTCAATCGAGTGGTTCTCCGCCGGGGGGTCGCCAGCACCACACACCACGTTGCGCTCGGGGGCTGGGGCGGGATTGAGCACATGCTGTGATGGCGGGCAGATGACTTCGTTGGTGTCTCCTTGGTCAGATCAGATAATTTGACGCGCGGGATCGATGCTGTGCTGCCAGCATCCATGTGATTGTTGTGGGCACGCTCGTCCCAATTATCAGGTCCGTTGTCGCTATAGAATGCACCAACCATACAGCAGTGGCGGCACCGCACGCAACAGTGAACCATGTTCCACCAACCTGGGTCTCACCAGGAACAAGGGCAAGTATATCATAATTCTCCAAGTGCACAAAGATTCCAAGGCAAACTCGAACGCAAGTGCCAACGTGAGCTGTATCAGTAGATGTTAGGTTACATTCAGGGTCTGCACGAGCAAAACCATGAGTGGACCCATAGGAATCCTGTCGGGATTTCACCATAAGCCCACCGCTTAAGATTTCTAACCAGGTACGTACTTACGTGAATTTCCTGGTACTGAACCAGCAAGCGCATGCCGTTTTCCAAATCCTCCTGTCCAAATTACCCGATTACAAACCCCTGTATTCTGGTATTTTCTATATTTTACCAACCCAGCGCCGGATCCCTTATATATCCCTCACTGAAGGCAAAGGCGGCGGTTTTTTGCGGTGACCCTGGCGCGAATGGTGTGGGGAGGAAGGACCAGTCATTTCAAGACACTGGCGCACCATCTTGGTGCAGCCCAGGACAAATTCGTTCGGTGGGCTGGGCACCAGCGACATCACAAGTGCGTGAAATAATAATATCAGCTTTACAATGCCCACCAGTCGCCTGGCTCATAACCTGTCCCAATCATAAAACTCAACCCATTTTCTCCACAATACGGGAAGATTTCCTCTCTTTACAGTCCGACGCATTCCATATGATGGTTAGGACGGGGTGCAATTCATAATTTTCTGATGCATCACAAACCTGGTCCATAGGTACAGTTTGGCATGCAATACTGCCAATGCATGCAAGTCACAAATAGGGGTCATTCGTCTGCACTAGAAGAATCGGCTGACACGGTGGCTGGCGTTGGCCAGTAGGTGGAAGCGTGACAATTTCGATTCCGAGCCCAGGAAATCATAGCCACTTCCAGCGTCATTTTGCCTAAAACGGTGGCCAAGATCGCATATTTGATACGAAAATCTCGGATTTTGCAACGGAATAGCGCACACGATGACACGCACAGTGCTATTTTCGGGAGTTACAGTGCATAGGTGGTTGTTGGTAGGTCTGGCTGCAAATTCGGTGAGGTTTTCGATGAGAAACCCCCCCCCCCCCCAAGAAAAGAGGGAGTGGCCTTATCATTCCCTTCACCAGACTGGTGGTATTGAGAGGCATTGGGGAGCGCAGTCAATCTGAGGGGCGGCAATAAGCGGTTTACAGTAGCAATAGAAGGGAATGGGGCGAGAAAGGCATTGCAATTTTTGGACCCGGTTCGGAAATCTAGGATCCTAAGTTTGAAATTGTAGGCTAATGTTACCGTTTGCATGTCGATCAATCCCAGCTCGGAGCACCTTCCGATGCCCCAAATGCCTATGCGCTTCCTAAAAAATAGCGTTGGTGAACGACCTCATGGTTTCAAGGTAGAGGAAAAAAATATCTAGGTGGTTTCAATGTAAAACGAACAAATAGAGACGGCCGATTTGCGAAGATAGAATAAAGGTGTGCATCACCCATAGAAAAGAAACAGGGGAACGCGATTTACCTGTCTAAATAACGCATGCAAGTGCACGAATAGAAAACAAGAAGGGACAACTCATATTGGCTCGTTGGCCCTTTCATATTCATATTCCAGTGACACTTGCCACACTTCGTCGCTGAGCTACACTTGGCAAGCTTCATGGTGCGCACCTGATGCGTATAGATGCATCGCCAAACTGAATCCCATGTAACTTTATCTCTTCGCGTTGACAAAATGACAAGGTGATGCACCTGGTGCATCGCATTGAAACGAGTTCTGTCCTTATATTGGCTACAAGTGTGCATAAAGAAATGCACAAACTTGTCTTTTTTATGCATGCTAATTTCTGTCCATTGTGCCTGTGGAGGTGGTGTGCGAAAAGCCTGGGCGTTTCAATGTGAAGGCAACCCCGAAAAGCTATCGTAATAAAACGAATGAAGTGTATTTTTGTTTCGCTGTGCTTGACCTCGGCCAGCTGGCCAAGAACAGCCTGCTGTGGTAATCCAGTGTCCAACCACGTGAAAGCGACGGTTGCGCCATGTGCGCAGTGGAACAGAAGCAGCAGCGCCGCAAATCCGATGTCAACGAGATCCAAAGCAGGCCACTTGCTAACAGGAGAATTACCCTTAATGTAGAGAAATTAAGAGTAACTTTTCAAGAGATCCCGTTTTTTTACAGTGCGATTTTTATCCGAATCCGTCCAACTTACGGAAACATTTCCGCGGGATTCCTTAGCCTAACGAGTAGTTTTCTTCGAATCCGTACGGGCTACCCAAGTAACAGGGAAATCCTTAGGGGGTACGACCGCCCACCCCCATTACCCCCCTCCTCCCCTACCTCCCGTCCCCCCCACTCCCCCCCATGCCCAACCTAGCCTTTGATCACTTGCTAGCCGAATTTGTAGCGGCCGATTCCTTTCGGTAACGGGATTTTCTGGAGGAATTCCGTCTGAAAACGGGTGATCCTGAGGCGATTCCGTCCCCTCCCAGAATACCCTGGGGCTTAGCGAGGGGCCTGATCCAAACAGAGCAGTCATGATTACCAATGGAGTCATGGATGGCTTGTCTGCAGTTCCGTTCCGTTCCCTTCCGACTTATAACCTCTGTACACATTCCCTAAGATGTTTTCAGTAATAGAACATGGGAATCTGGATTACACCTTAACCTTGCCCTGAGAAATTTGACCTCGCCACCCTTGGACGTGCCAAATGTGGAATTTTACTACAAATACCTCATTCACGCAAGGACCCCGTCCCGCAACTTCCTTTTTCGTCACGCAGCTTCGTTTATCCTCTCGCATGTCACGACGATGATCGGGTGTTACTGCGAATATGCATTTGAGAAAGGGGGACGAAATGAAACAAGTCAAAAGAGGTTTGTTTGCCATGGACACCTACCGCGTACGCGACTCAACCGACATGCGCGTAAGGGGAAAATGGGGGAGGAAGGGGGGGAGGAAGGAGGGGGGGGGGAGGGGGAGGGAGGGGTGTTGAAGTACGTCAGCTAGGGGGAGAAGCCATGGAATGGCGTGATGTTTAGGAAGGAGAGAAATGTAGAGAGAAGAAAATGTGGCTTTGAAAAAAAGAGTGAGGGATACAAGAAGGGGGGTTGTACCCTCTACCGTAGGATCCAGTAATACCTATAATACATATATTGTATATTTCTGTAGACTATATAGGGTTGTGCGTTAAGGAGTACAACCCATTAGGTTATATTCTTTTGTATGTCTTGTTCTAGACATTCTTTCACTTGAACATGGTATCATGAGTAGGTAGGTACCCCCCCCTCCCCCCCGCCCCCCAGCGCTTCCGCCCTAGGTCCTAGCCGTCTCGTCGCCCCGCGTCCCCGTCCCCTAGCGGCCCCATCCCCTAGCGGCCCCGCTGCCCCGTCCCCTAGCGACCCCGCGGCACCGTCACCTTGCGGCCCCGCGGCCCCGTCCCCTAGCGGCCCCGCGGCCCCGTCCCAGAGCGGCCCCGCGGACCCGTTACCTCGCGGCCCCGCGGCCCCGTCACATAGCGGCCCCGCGGCCTCGTCCCCTAGCGCGCCCGCGGCCCCATCCCCTAGCGGCCATGCAACCCCGTCACCTAGCGGCTCCGCGGCCCCGTCCCCTAGCGGCCCCGCGGCCCCGTCCCAGAGCGGCCCCGCGGCCTCGTCACCTAGCGGCCCAGCGGCCCTGTTCCGTAGAGGCCCCGCGGCCCTGTCACCTTGTGGCCCCGCGGCCCCGTCACCTCGCGCCCCCCCCTCCTAGCCAGCCCTGCCTCTTTGCCAGCCCCGTCGCCTTGCCGCCCGCGGCCCCGTCTTCTAGACGCCTCGCCGCCGTCCTCGGCCCCTCTGCACCACATGGCACCGCTCTGCACCGCATTGCACCGCTCTGCACCGCACTGTACTGCACCATACCGTACTGCACCTCCCTCCACAGCACAGTACCGCAGTGCACCGCACATCACCGCTTTCCGCCGCGCTCTCCTTCCCAGTACTGTCTTTCTCCTGCTGCTGCAACCATGATGGCGGACTCAGTCCTGCGTTTTAATGATGAGGGGCAGACGATTGAGTTCAACTCGTGGCTCGTCGACCTCCAGCGACACCTGACTGGTCAGCGGCTGGACGTCCACTCCTTGGCCGTCCACATCGATGGTACGCTCCCTTGCCCGGACCCCCCTGCTGCCCTCCCTTCTGACCCCACCTCTGCTGACCGTGTGTCCGTTGCAGCTGCTGCCCTTGCCCGTGCTGTCTGGTTGTCGCGTAACACTGTCGCACAGCTTGCGATTAGTCATGCCCTTCCCCTGTCCTAGCGCCCCCGCTTTAGGTCTGTTAGGACTGCGCAGGAGTTCCTAGAGGTTGTTGTTTAGGGTCGCCTAATCCTACCCATGCTCACTCCTGACCTTGCGTCTTTCCTCACTGTCGTTGACCTAGCCGCCCACCTGCTCATGCTACACACAACCTGGCGCGCTGCCTGCACTGAGGCTCAACTTCATGTGTTTCAGCCCCCCATCTGCTCTACCCTCTACCTGCTTGCCACCCGCCTCCCTGACCGCCTTGCCACCACTCGCGATCACTTCCTTAGTCTCCACCTCGCTGACCTCACCCTTACTGACTTTGTCGACACCCTGTCTGCCATAGAGACCCGTCA